TTGAACTAGAGCTGCTAGGTCCCCGCAGTCAACACAGCCAGGGCTATCCTTGCTGTGCAATCTTGAGAGTTGTGGTATTTCTCATTTTTGACAAAGAGCCTCTCCTTCTACGGGGTGTGTGGGTGTTACTCCCTGCAATATATTTGTGGACCCTGCCTTGCCCACCAACAGCCAAAGAAACATCTAGCATGACAGAGGTAAAGTCACGTGACATCTCGCAAGATTAGCAAGTTCCATATGACGTAGGTTGCCTGAAACCAGAAGTGGGCTACAGACCACACAAGCTTATGCCAATTCAAATGTGCTCGCTTTTGAGGTGTCACACCCTCCTTGTGACCCGTGTCTTCCAAAATATATCCCTTGCTTCTTTCTCTCTCCATTTATCTCTGCCTCCGTGCTTAGTCCCTAGCCTCCCGGAGTCCTTTCACTTGGACTACCTCTCGGACACGGCGCTGCTGCTGGAGTGGACGCGCCCCACTTTCCCCAATGGGAAACTACTAGCCTATGTGTTGGCGTATCAACAAGGTGAGTCTGGGGAGGGTTCTGGCTGGCGTGGGGAGAAGAGGTGGCAGCATGCTGGGAGGCGGGAGGGAAATCACCTTGTGACATACTTTGAATATGGAAAGATTTAGGCCTGCTACTGTCGCTGCTGCTGTATTGTTTCAGCTATTGCCACCAGCCCCCATTGGAGAACATGAAGTGCAGTCCTTTTCTCACAGCCAGATCTGCATCTCTGGCCACCCAGCGGTGCTCAAAGACTTCCGGCAAAGGAAAGACATTCTCTCCCAAGGCAGCGTGGGTCTTCTCTTGGCAGCTCTTTACTGCTAGGGTGTTTCTCTTAAAAGTTTAGCTACGATGTGCTTCATGCCAGTTCCCATGTTTAACTTCTTGTCCTCCGAACCAGTAGAGAACCTCTCCTATGAGGTAGCCTCTCAGGTACCTGAAGAACCCTATTCCACATCCCATTCATTTTCTCTATGTCAGGGTCAGCTCACCCAGCTCACTGAACCAGCCCACATAGGACGCTAGACTCTTCACCATGTGGCTGCTTTTCCGTGGAGTTGCTCCAATGTCCTCCTTGAAATGTGGCACTCAGAACGGGATCAAGTGATCCAAATACAGCTCCCTCGGCCCAGAAAAAGCAAGAATATTTCCTCTTAAAAGATGGGCACTGTGCTTCTGTCAGTAACATCCAGAATGGCAAGCTGATGAATTTCTCCTCGCCAAGTCTCAGTGATATCTATCAGATGTCTAACATGTCATCCCATATTAGGCTACTCAAGTTCCTATGGTTCATTTTTCTTATTTTGTACATTAGTATACTGACACTGGAGCTGTGAGAGTTATATCTTCCTGCATCCTGGCTGCATTGATCTGCCAATTTCCTGGCACTGTCCCCTCCTTTGTCACCCGTGGTCCTATTCCTAATGCCTGACTCCACAGCTGGCACTGGGATTTTGTCAACCTTTCCTGCAAGAGTTTGCTTAAATCTCCTTTGATCAGGTTTGAAAGGTTTCTGCCTGGTCCTCGTGAGCTGCAGTGCGGCTTCACGAATGAATCCTTTATAGTGGTCATAGGCCATGGTATGTGATGCCACTCTCTGTGTAGCCTGCAAGAATCACTGCTAAAATCCGGTCTTCTCTCATAGCATCTTGAGCTTTGACTGGAAGGTGTGATGGTAAACCCTGGCATCTGGCGTCCTCACTTCATTCATTTTCCTGCCCAGAACTTTTTAGCCTTTGGAGATCCATTCAAGATTTCCATGAAATAGATTGTTGACTCCCACGGGGATCAGCAGGAAAGGGTAGCCTCTCCATCATGTCTCGAATACATACCCCAGTAGTTTCTGAGATGCTGGGTCTGGTCTGAACATGCCTGTGGCATCCGGTTTCTTTTTTTATTGCAAAAACCTATTGCAAGGAATTGTTTCCCATTAAGCATGGCTGTGTTTAAACTTGCAGAATTGTGCAAGATTTTGTGCCATATTACACAGAATCGTTCTTCTATTCCTAATCCCTCCCCTGAGGTTTTGTTTTCAGGATCCTGACACTGCCTGAAGGAAATGCATTTCCTGCAGCTGCATGTTTTTGTTTCAGGAAGCACAAAGAACAGAAAGCATTTGCTGGAATTCTCCCATAAATTTGAGAGAGCCCCAATGACCTAACACCCTAATCCACCCATCCTTATGTTCTGGAAGAGATCATCCTTACTTGACTTATTCTTCCTGCAGATGTTTCTCCATGCAAATCTCTTCTGGAATGTCTTCGAAGAGGGAGATATTGCAACTTCCCAGTTTGGTTTTAATGTTCCATAGCTCAGCTGCACTTTTTGTTTTGTGGCACTTTTTATTTTTAGAATTACGTTGAAAATTTCGACCTGCTTTTGTCATAGAGAGTTCAAGCACCTTGCCATAAATGATGCACTGTAATGTAGATCATGCAAACAAGAAATATTCCCAATTTGCAGTAGGAAGTAATATTTTACAAATCTTCATATTTTTTTGGCCGGTGCTCTGTGTTACTTTTTTCCATCTTTCTTCTGACGTAAATCTCGTTAGTCCAATGGGGCTTGTACTTGGGTGATAAGGTGCAAAACATGTTCCTCTACCTCCAAAAGTTTTGTAGTCTTGTATAAAAGTTTGTGTGTGTGGAGATTTCAACTGTAGTAGCTTGTGTGAATATTGCCCATGCTGCTGTACGATTTCCATGCCTTGCATTCCGACAAACTCACCACTCTCCCTCTCTACCCTCTTGCACCTAGCCAACCAGACTGCCAATCAGACCGAAGTGGATGTCATCAAAAGCATTAGCTTTCCACCCACTCAGCTAACCTTCAACTTCACTGGTCTCGACCCCTACACTCCCTACAATTTCAACTTGTCGGCAGAAACCAGCGCAGGGAAAGGAGAGCCTTTTATTCTGCAGGAACATGCCATGCGTGAGTTAGGTAAGTGAAGTTTTCCAAATACTTCCTTGCTATGAGAGACACAAATGGGCGGGGCGATCTCTTTTGTTTGAGTGCACTTCTGTTTTAGCGGATTAATGATCAACAGCCATGCAGGGGCAATCAAAACCAGGTGTGAAGCCAGCAGATGAAGAAGGTTATATGTGGATCTACACTGTGTGATGTGAGTTTTCACATTTCACATGATTCCGTCTGAAAAGTAGAGAAGGAGACTGATTGGTCAAACACAGAGAGATGTTTAAAGGACACAGTGTTGAACATTTCCACCTGTAGTCTTGGTGGTGATGGAGAAAACATGAAGATCTGGACTTCTAGTTACTGAGTGGTGTATTGTGGTATTGAAGGAATGGAAACACACCCAACCAGTGTAAGCACTAGCTCATTAGAATCAGGCTGGGACATAGATTAACTTGGCTGTGTCAAGACAAGCATTTTCTTTTGAAATTGATATACCTCATTTGTAGAATTGTACTTGTCTGTGTATGTTTGGAGGATGTTGTCTTCTTTTTGTGATGCTTGCATATTTTCCAGCTGATTGCTCTGTATATAATCCACCCCCCCATCACAGAAAATCTGTTAATGAAAAAAAAAAGGCAGAAGACTGCATAGATATCTGTTGATGGATAAGGAGGAGTCCTTGGTCTGGAAGCCGCCTGGGTGTTTTTCTAATGCGCTACAGTAGTTCCTTAAGGGTTGTTAGAAGATCCATACACTCAGACAAGCTTTCCTGCAAAACAGCCTGCCTGTCTGAATGTGGGAAAGGCTGGATGTATTCCAGACTTGATTTTAAGCTAACATAAGGTGTGGTCAAGGAGGACTAGCAGTCGCCAAAGCTTAGGGTGGAATAAATGAACAGCTACTTAAGAGAAAAACTTGCTCCAGAAGTCTCAGTGTGGAAAATGCTCCCAGGAGGCAGAATGCTTGAAAGAGAACGAGACAAAGAGAGAATACAAAATGTAAAACTGTTATGTTTTTTCTTCCGCCTTCATTTGGAGACATTTGGAAGGCCTATTCTGTTTTTGTCTTCCATAAACTATTAAAAAGATTGCTAGTTTCCTACTGAGTTTCTGCTGAGCAGAACATCTTTTTGATAAAGATGTGCACTATTTTTGCTGGAACACATTGCCCCCCAGCCATGATGTGGTATAGGGAGTAGTAAGGTGTCCAACGTGCCTAGCAAGTTGCATTAAATTTTTGCTAGCTTGCAGAGGATTCAGTCATCATCAGTGGCTGCCAGAATGGTGCTAGCAATAAAATGCTTGCTAGAGACAGCCAACGCAGAATTGGAGACGGGGTTTTCCCTACCACTTTAATCATTCTATGTGTGGTGTGCAAAAAAGAACAAACCAGGCTAAAGGTCATGTCACCCACCTTGGTGCCACAGCCCAATATCAAAGGACCGGTGTGCTTTTTTTAATCATCAATGGAAAACTCAGCAGTGGTCAGAGGATTGGAAAAGATCAGTCTACATCCCAGTCCCAAAGAAGGGCAGTGCCAAAAAATGCTCTAACTACCATATAATTGCACTTATTTCACACGCTAGCAAGGTTATGCTCAAAATCCTCCAAGGTAGGCTTCAGCAGTATGTGGACTGAGAACTCCCAGAAGTACAAGCTGGATTTCAAAGGGGAAGAGGAACTAGAGACCAAATTGCTAACATGCGCTGGATTATGGAGAAAGCCAGAGAGTTCCAAAAAACATCTACTTCTGCTTCACTGACTACGCAAAAGCATGGCAGAAAGTGAGGAGGACTTAAGCTCTTAATGAGGGTGAAAGAGGAGAGTGCAAAAAACGGTCTGAAGCTCAACATCAAAAAAAGGAAGATCATGGCCACTGGTCCCATCGCCTACTGGCAAATAGAAGGGGAAGATACGGAGCCAGTGACAGATTTTACTTTCTTGTGATCACTGCAGAGGGTGACAGCTGCCACGAAATTCAAAGATGAGTGCATGAGTGCAGTAATGCTCAATCACGTCACTCATGCAAACGTTCCCATTGCATAAACCTGCCCTCTGCTTGGCAACCAATTTTTTAAACAATTCATGGTAACAATGTAGTTTAAGAAGCCAGTACTGTATACTGAAAAATGGAAACAAATTATTTTTACAAAGTTACTTTCCCATCTCTTTCCAAGCTTTAGGACCATCTAAAACTGTTGTCTTGCTGGCTGTAGGAAACTAGGGGAATAATATCTGTTCTATGGGATCCGGCTACTCTTTATTCCTGTTATTCATTTCTTTCTTTTTTAAAAAATGTAATTATAGAGTGACTTTTGTATTCTAGGATAAAAGGCATGAAAGAGTTCGGTGAATTGCTCAAAATTATACAGGACTTCACTACAATAATTGATTGCAATATTTGAAAAGCCAATTTAATTGTTTCCCTACTACAATTAACAAATTATTTTTGTGGATGATTACATTGGCTTTCATTGTTCTAGTCCATTTGATTATTTGAAATATAGTATTTAACAACTTATGAGTTAAGTGATCAGCTTAATTGGGAGTCATGGCTTGGGGAGTTTTCATCTGTGTGTGTCTGTGTGGTTTTTTTTTTTTTTTTACCCAACTTTGTAGTGTCAGGCATGACAAAGACATATGTGAAGTTGAACACTCATTTAGAATTGTGACTGGTTGGTTGGTTGGTTGGTTGGTTGGTTGGTTGGTTGGTTGGTTGGTTGGTTGGTTGGCTGGCTGGCTGGCTGGCTGGCTGGCTGGCTGGCTGGCTGGCTGGCTGGCTGGCTGGCTGGCTGGCTGATTGGTTGATTGGTTGATTGATCTATTGAAGGTATCACCCACTCTTGTCTTCAGACAACCCATATACTGAGAAAGTTCTAGTGTAAGAATTGTGCAAGGGATTCTCCTACACAGTCCTGCCTGGGCTTTGAGTTCTCCTGCTATCCTCTGAACCACAGTTGGTGGGCTCATGAGACAGGGAGCGCCTTCTTGGGAGCTGCTTCCAAGCTCTCAAAATTCCCCGCTGAGAGACGTTAGGCCTGGTCTTCAGACAACCCATATACTGAGAAAGTTCTAGTGTAAGAATTGTGCAAGGGATTCTCCTACACAGTCCTGCCTGGGCTTTGAGTTCTCCTGCTATCCTCTGAACCACAGTTGGTGGGCTCATGAGACAGGGAGCGCCTTCTTGGGAGCTGCTTCCAAGCTCTCAAAATTCCCCGCTGAGAGACGTTAGGCCTGAGGCCTGCTNAGTGTCAGGCATGACAAAGACATATGTGAAGTTGAACACTCATTTAGAATTGTGACTGGTTGGTTGGTTGGTTGGTTGGTTGTACTGCCAAACAAAGACATTTTTTACCCTGGTGTAGGAATCTGAATCTTTGCTTATTTCATTCCTGGAGGCAAGAAGAAAACATTACAAAACCTTGTCCCCTGCTGTCCAAGATTATAAGAAGTTTTTGTGCATTTTTTTTCATATTTAGCATTTCTCTTGTGAAAAACTGACAGAAGTGTTGGGGGTGTTGCACAGAAAACCTTATATGTTGTGCAACATAACACAGAGTATGAAGTTCTCACTCAGCATATATTTGCTGATGAAAAAAGGGTTTCAGCGGTTGCCCTTTTTTTTTCATTAAGCATAAGAAAATTTGTATTTGATACATCCTCAGTAGGAAGCACACACCAGTGTTTGAGAACTGATTTTGGTTGTTGCAGTATGGGCTTTTAACTGGTTAGAGGCTGTCTTTTGTTTCATTGATAGAGTTTTAATTTGTACTATCAGTTTTTTATGATTTTGTGCATGGTAAAATTTGGTTGTATTTGTTGTATTGAATTGGAAGCTGCTTTCAATACCCTTCTAGGAATAAAAGTTGAATATAAAAAAAACAAATGATTGAATGAATAATTTGAGAGTGCAATTAGATAGATTAGGCATCCTTCAGTCTCGAGACACTATGGTAATGTGCTCTGAATGGAGGACTTGGAACAGCGTCTAGTGTGGCTGAGAAGGCCAATTCGAGAGTAACCATCCTTTCCACTGAAGACAATCTGTCCCCTGTCCAGCTCCCTGATTTTGCTGGCTTTGGGACTGCCTCTTTGCCTTGGCCTGCTGAACAAGTGTCTCTTCAAAATGGCCATGATGCACCACCTGCATGCAGGCTGAATGCTCAGATGTCAAGGTTTCCCATCTGTTGAGGTCCATTCCTAAGGCCTTCAGATCCCACTTGCAGATATCCTTGTATTGCAGCCGTGGTCTCCCTCTGGGGCACTTTCCCTGCACTAATTCTCCATACAGGAGATCTTTTGGAATCTGATCGTCAGCCATTCTCACTACATGCCCAAGCCAATGTAGATGTCACTGTTTCAGTAATATATACATGCTAAAAATTCCAGCTCGATCTAGGACTACTCTATTTGGAACTTTGTCCTGCCAGGTGATACCAAAAATCCGTCAGAGGCAACGCATATGGAACGTGTTCAGCTTCCTCTCCTGCTGTGCACAAAGGGTCTAGGACTCACTGCAGTACAGGAGTGTGCTCAGGACACAGGCTCTATAGACCTGGATCTTAGTATATG